TAACTTAATGTATTCGCTTAATAGCTATCTAACATCAGTATAAGTTTCACATAGCACAAAGCAAGCAACATTCGAGCAGAAAAACCAATAGGCAAAAGGCATCATAAAGATCAGGCAATTCTAACACACCATTCCTAAGGATCCTTTGCCTACATATGCATCACTAACATCTCACATAGTACACACAGAAAATCATCTCTTCTAGTAGGCACTCTAGCATGCAACCCTGAGTAGATCCTGATGGGTTTTACATGCAATAACACGGATAAATCTTTATACACTTAAGGGTACATGCAACCTATTAGATCTAGTCATAACGCTATTGAAGTAACATTATAATGAACAACACAAACCCTATAACCCTAGCTAATTTCGAAATTCATAGAAGAAGATTACATACCTTTTAATGTTGTAGTAAAAAACTTAAACAATCCTTCTTGAAAAGAGAAGAGGAGAGGGGAAATTTCGGCTATGCTCTTGCGAATAGAGTGATGGATGAAAATTAGAGGGTGGAAAACCATATTTATAGTTGTTAGGAAAACCCTAGATAACCCTTACTTGATTAAAATAATAATATATTAAATCAGGTAATTATCTGGTTTCCTAATTATCTTCAAGGTATATTCTAGAACCCTAGAATCACCCAAAACCGTCCACCCTTATGTGGAAGGTTCTGGAACCCTTTTGTTCAACTATTGAACAATTAAAACTTAGGTCCTTGCACTATTAATTAATCAAATTAATCCCAAAATTAATTCTAATTAATTTCTGATTGATTCTTAATTAAATAATAATATTTCTAATTAATATATTATTCTCATAACATATTAATAAATCCATTTATTGCTATTTATTAATCATATAACAAATCAATAAATCAATATCTCTCTTTAAAAGTCTTCATATTCAATTACTAGGTTTGAGGGCAACCCAAAAGGACTTTGTTAATAATTTAAATATATATCAATTTAGTTATTGGCTTAGACATCTAATCTAACAGATCCTTAGCCTATCTTATAGCATACACATCATACTATAACACATATAACAACAAGTCAATCACAACATATAAAACAAGTATGAATATTTTGGGAAATCACTTTTCTATGCTCCAGCTAACTGTACACATCGCATCTTCCCTTTTCTTCTCTTGAAATGAACATTTTCCAAAAATGTTTAGAAAAACACTCAACTCCATAGTTTGAGTTTGGAATCCCACGAGTGTTCATCCAAATCCCTCAAACCAGGGCTCTGATACCAACTTGAAACATTCCAAAAACCAGGGCTAAATTTTCTATTTTTAATAATAATATAACATCCATTTTTAATAAAGTTACAACCATTTATTCATAAACCATTATTCTGGAATCAGATTTAATAAAAATATAATGCGGAATCTCAAATCATAATCTGTTGATGTGTGTGTACAGTCCCGCCTTCGCAATTCGATAAGTACCTGCAAAATATTTAATCCACAACTTTAAGCACAAAGCATAATGAGTTGCCCAAAATACCACATACAACACAACACCAATAAACAATTATGGATTATAAGTAACCCTGGAGACTACTTTAAGTCTCAGTGGGCAAACAACAAGTCCTGTGGGTTATCAGCAACCCTGAAGACTACCTATAATCTCAGTGGGAAAACAACATGCCCTGTGGGTTATCAGCAACCCTGGAGACTACCCGAAGTCTCAGTACTCATAGTAACACATATCACAGTAACAACAAATAAGACCCAACTGGTTAGCACATATATACTACCACACAGACAAGTATAGTGAGAAGACTCACCTGAACTACTCAACAGAAACCCAACAGATACATCAGCATCAGAACAGCCAATCTAAATTTTCTAAAACCAAACTGAGACCAATCCTTAGTCAAATACTCAATTCTACCTAAGTTTGACTAAAAGTCAAACCGGTCAAAAAGTCAACGGTCAAAGCCCACAAGGTCAACGGTAATCTTAGACAAAGTCAACGTCACGTCGTGACCATTCCTTGGTCACGTCGTGAGAATGCGATGACAAAAACAATCACGATTACGGGCATCGTCACGTCGTGACACATCCTATGTCACGTCGTGAATTTAGGTCAAAGTGTCAAAATCTTCATTAAGTGCTTAATCTCTTCAGACCAAGGCCCATAACCTCAGATCTAGCTCCTAAATAGCTTCATAATGGATAAATTTTCCAACTTTATCCATTAGGATGATCCAAACAACCAAGATCTAGTCTTTAAGGTATCAAAAGGGCCAAGAATGCATCTTTCTCAGCTAAATCCATTAAGCCTAAGTCTCCAACCTTCATATCTGAACCAACATAATGTTTAGATAGATAAAGTTCCCAACTTTATCCATAATAATGTCTCAATCTTTCAAGATCTAAACTTTAATACACCAAAATGGCCTAAATGACCAAAATAATTTTCATGGCTGAAAGGGAAGGCAAAAGATACACACTTTCCTAGTCTATGAGGTCTAAGAAAACATTATAAACTAATCAAAAGGATGTTGGAGTCCAAATCTGAAACGTACAATGTTCTTGGGACCTTGGTGAGTAAAAAAGTTGCAAACTTTATTCCTAACTATCACTCAAAACTCATTAAAATGGACCAAAACACCAAATACACTTAGATCCAAAGATAAAATGCAATAAAGCTTGGAACTCTATAACTTACAAAGGTTTAGAAGGTAGATGAAAGTTGAGATCTTCAATTGTTAAGCTTCAAAGATCAATCTTGCATGAAAACATTGCTCCAAAACCACCAAAAACTCCAAAAATGGATGAGTGATGAGAGGGGAGGCTCAAATCTTGAAAATAGAGGCTAGGGTTTCTCCGAAGAGGTTCTAGATATGTTGGAGGCTAAGAAAATACCCTAAAACATGAATCCTTACCTTTAAATACCTTGAAACCCCTAAAAAATTTGTGGGCTTTGGGCTGCAAAGTTCTCATGTCGTGAGAATATATTCTCACCTCTTGAGGACTCTCACGTCGTGAGAGTTACTTCTCACCTCGTGAGAATAGGTTTTCAACCAATTTCACTTCAACTTCAAACAGTCATAACTTCTTCATTTCAACTCTGTTTTCAGCGTTCTTTATATGCACGGAAAGGTATCGACGAGCCCCACAACCTATTTAATTACTTTTGACTTAAAACACACTGAAATAAAATCCTTAATTCATGAAAGAAGTCTGAAACATCACTTTTCCCATTTTACCTTGTAACTCCAAGACACAAACCAAGGCTTTAATCACTTATCCAACATTATCATCATCCAATAAGGTCTAAACCATATTCCCTTGAAGCCCAAGGCCTTTAATTTATCCATTTATTGTCCACAATCCTGAAATAAGAAACCTTCGAAACAGGATGTTACACATACGAATGTAAAGAAAGGGGGAAAATATACCTCCGAAAAACAAGTTAGTGGAGTAGTGACAGCGCTAATATCATCTGAATATTAGAGATGAAGAAAGTCGATAAACTCCATTTTTCGAAAAACAGGTTGGCCGAGTAGTGACAATGCAACATCATCTGAATCTAGATATTGGAGATGAAGAAAGCTGATAAATTCCATTCGCCCATACCATCTAAAAAACCCTCAAACCTCGATCGTCACCTTAGGGACGAATAATTGATGTGGGTTGTTTTGAAGCAATACTTTCATACATAACCTTTCGACGTTGGTACCAACCGTTCCTTCAATCGATTTAGATTTGGGATAGGAGAAAGGAGAACCGGTTGGTGGTGGTAATTGACGGAGATACTGGCGGAGGAGGACATTGAAGTCGCTAAATCTTGGGGAAGAAGCACGTTCACCTATTAGAGAATGCAACGAAGGCGGTGGAAGACATGTGGACCAGAAAGCGAGCGGACACATTGGCAAGAGTTATGAGTCATCCAGTCTGGAGGAGGTAAAAGTATAAAAACAGACTGCATGGACCAAAAGTGTGAAAGTGAGTAAAAAATTGTGGCAAAAACTCAAAAGCGGTAAACTATACTATTGTTAAACCCCTTGTGCATTAATATATATATATATATATATATATATATATATATATATATATATACCCGTAGGAACCACGATTACAAAATTAATTAAATTTTTATAGTAAAAACTCAAAATTATTAATCAGTTATTTTAAATAAATTATTAATTAAGTGATATTTTTTAGTTATATAAAAAACTATAATCATTTATTTAAATAAATACGTGACCTTATAATATGTAATAATTCTATTTTAATTTTAGGGTAAATTACACTGATGATCCCTGTGGTTTAGGGTAATCTGTGTGGTTGGTCCTTAACAACTTTTTTTTAACTCGGACCGTCCCTACTTTATATTTTTGTTGCACGCTTAGTCCCTGTCCGTTCTAAAAAAGACTAATTTACTCTGATCCATTTCTTTTTTAATTAAATTTTTATTTATTTATTTATTATCATATTTAAATAAAAAAAAAATACATGTGGGTCCCTCCCTCCTTGCCCCCTTCAGCCTTCTTCTTCCTTCGACCTTTCTCCTATCTCCGATTCCTTCATCCCAACTCCGACGACTGCACTAAATCTCCGACAAAAACCAACCAATCAAACCCTCTCTTCACTGGAGAAACAATGTTTACCTGAAAAAACAAATGGAAACGAAAATCAACAAGATTTTGGTCATCAGAGGAACGTGCAATGTATGATACATCACATCGTCGCCGCTGCTCTGGGTCTTTCCGACGAACGGAAATCATAAACCAAAAACCTTATCCTCTCCCTCTCTCAACTCTGGTGAACTAACCCTAACCCCTGAAGTCGGAACACCATCGATGCCGTTAGCATCTCCGCCATCTTCGCCAGCATCTTCAATTTACTCTGCCAGAAACAAAAACCACACTATCTCCAACATCTTATACGGACTCTATCACGTTTTTTCTTGTTTAATCTAGTTCAATTTTGATTTCTGGATTCGGGTTTGATTTTTTTTTTCTCACGTTTGATTTTGCTTTCATTTGATGTTCGTCTGATTCTGCATCAATTTGATTTGGTGTTTCTTCTGATTTTGGTTTGGGGATTCATTTATGGAGGGGGAGCCGCCACCACCATTGATGGATTCCTCTGATTTCATTTTTTCAGGATCGATTGTTTCAGGGATGTTCATAGCAACAAAAAAAACGCAGATCGGTGGTGGTTGTTTTAGGCACGCGATGGTGGTGGTTTCAGGGGCTACAGTGGTGGTTGTTTTACGGGCGATGGTAAGGATGGCGCCGGAGTGGGTGTCGATGATGGAGGGGTGTCGACTTCCTGGAGCTGACGAGGAAGGAAGAAAATAATGAGTAAAAAAAATCTTATAATAATTAAGTTACAAAATAGCAATAAGTTAAAATAATCTATAAGGGTATATTGCTCTTTTCATGTTGGTCAGGGACCGAAATCGCAAAAAACACAAACATCAGGATGGTTTAAGTTAAAAAAAAGTTTATAGAGACCAACCGCGCAGACTACCCAAAACTAGGGGTGAGCAAAAACCTAACCGCAAACCGAAAAAACCGCATAAACCGAAACCGAAAAACCGAAACCGAAATGAAAACCGACGGTGTGGTTTTTAGTTTTGCAAAAACCGAAAATGTTTGGTGCGGTGTGGTTTCTAGTCTTGCAAAAACCGCAAAAAACCGAACCGCACCGTATATATATATATATATATATATATATATATATATATATATATATATATATATATATATATATATATATATATATATTCCTACTTGGAGATTCTTATTACATGATGTGACTGGGTCACATGTTGATGTTTGAAGAATCAAAGAAAATTGAAGAAACTTAAAGAAAGAATATGCTGAATCTGATCGCGTAGATGGATTTCTATCGCATAGTTTGAAGATCGGATTCTTGAGCTACTTCTTAGGAGTTATGATATATTGCTTAGGAATAGATAACAACAAAGTTTTCATGTGCTTAGGAATATATATATATATATATATATATATATATATATATATATATATATATATTAAGTATTGATATTTGTAAGAATGAAGAACTCATGACAATTAAAATTTTTATAAATATAAATATCTATCTTATTATAGGATGATTATATATTTTTAAACATATATATAGTATATTTACAAGAATAGATAATGTTTATTATATTTTTTAACATATGAATATGAAGAGTACTAGTGATGATAGTATCATTTTTATGAATACATTAATTGATATTATCTCATGTACGTGCGAAACAAATATTATATTTAATTCGTATTATATTCAAGCATTAGAAGCATGTTGGATCAGTGGTTATGTCATTTGAGTTCAAACCTATTAATAGGTGGTGGTATCGATTCATCCCTATATAAAGTTTCTTAAGTAATAATTAACACTCCTCATCTTAGTCAAAGTAACTCGTTGAGTTGCGTGAGTTTTAGAAAAAACGGCAAAACAAAACCAAATAAAAAAAACTGACAAAAATCAGCAAAAAAAAAAAACGAACCGCAAAAACCGAACCGCATACAAACCGAACGGTGCGGTTTCTAAACATCAAAAAACCGAAGTTGCGGTTTTCGGTTTGGTTTTAGCCGAAAACCGCACCGAACCGCACCATGCTCACCCATACCCAAAACCATAGGGACCATTCATGTAATTTACCCTTAATTTTATTTTAGTTTTTATTCTAATGTTATTAATTTAATGTAATTAGAATGAAAATTTTAAAATTTGAAATGGAGAATCAGTATGTTAACAAGTGATATGACATTAGTTAAGATGTGTAATAGGATAACAAATAACAAAAGGAGAACAAACATATTATTTTATTAGAATAAAAGAGGATAAGGGTTATATGGAAAACCAAAAAACCCTAAAAATCATAAAAATGCATAAAAAAAATACTTAGAGATCACAAATCTTTTTTTTTTAACTTTATATACCAAAAAAATCTCAGGTTTTTTTTTTAAATTCGCTGAAAAAAAAAAATTGATTTTTTCTTTGGTTTTTTTTCAAAAGAAATTTCAGCGAATTTAATTAAAAAGTAGCGATTTTTGTATATATAAAGTCAAAACAAAGATTTGTGATCTCTTATGCATTTTTTTTTTAGGGTTTTTTGTTTTCAGTAGAACCTAAAACTATATATATATAATATATATATATATATATATATATATATATAATATATATATATATATATATATATATATATATATATTTGGTAGTGTTAATAAATATTTTTGAGTATTTGAATGACATAAAGTAAAAGAAATACTATTTTGATAAGCTATTTTATTTTAACTTGCTTATGATATGTGGAAACTAATTTACATATTTACTCATGTTTTAACCCTAAAAATTCATATGAATTGCAAACTCATTTTTTATTTTCATCATGAACAATGTGCATATCAATTTACCATTTTATCTGGGTTTTTTTTTTTTGATCATTTACATGTATAAACATAATAAAACATGTTTTTATTAACTTATTACATTTTAATATCATATAAGCTAATCAAACATTTTTTAAAACTCATTTTGGTATCTCAAACTAATAAATATTTTTATGAAATAAAATATAAATTATTTTAAATAAGCAATTGCAAAGATACGATTTATAATATAACGATGAGCACGAATAACAATTTTGGTCAAACATTCAATTTTTGTGACATTTAACCTTTACAAATGACCAACTTTCTTGTATTAGCGAACCAAAAATTATTATTATTATTATTATTATTATTATTATTATTGTTTAAAAAATTAAAAAGGCAAATGAAATGGTCCAGGCCCCTCTGGTTTAGGTATGGTTAAAGCTAAGCTATTTTTGTCAGCTTTCAAGTAATTTCTTACGAGTACCACTAAGAATAGACTTGACTGTTTCTACGTTCTACCAATTTATTATGATAAATTCAAACACAATTAGTGCAAGACTTGACTTGGTTGACTTAAATACATAACCATTTCATCTGTGCTTATTGAAAATATATATATATATATATATATATATATATATATATATATATATATATATATATATATATATATATATATATATATATACCCGTAGTCTAATGATGAAAGTGAAACCCCTGTATTGCCACCTCTAGTCGTCAAGACTTAACAAATTATTATGTAATAACTTTTTTGGTTGTAATTACATTCAAAAATGAACAAGAAATTAAATAATGCAAGGATTAATACAAACCGACTCATATCGAAGTCTGTCAAGTTTCAAACATGTCAAGTAAGCCCACTTCTTGCAAATATTCAACGGGCTCTTCATTCTTGCAATTTGCAATACTAAATCACATTTTAGGCCCACAATCCAATTAAAAATCCATATGTCATCATTTTGTTATATAATTTATATACTAGTTATTATTACAAGAAGTTTAATTGTAGATGGTATACAAAAAGTAAGAAAACAACTAAACGTATATACAAAAGCGATACTTTATTATGCTCCAAAGTTATTTTGGCCATATATCATTTAAAAACAAAGCTATTGAATTTCAACCATAACTTTTTACATTTTGCTAGCGGATTCGGGTCAAACTAAACACACATTGTGACCAAAGTGGAAACGACATTATCATACATGTGACAAGCATGGATTTAATGACTACATTTGTTGGATCCACCAAGTCCATTCATATCACAACGCCCTCAAAATATTTAAAAAAAAAAAAAAAAGACGTGGAATGAAACTGTACAAAGACGAAATGACAGAAAGCACTCATTAAGTTATGTATGTATCAAGGAAGAATATCACGGTTTCTCATGTAGGTTAAGAATTGTGAGGGTAATTCTGCTAAAAGGGATTGAGCAACAGACACTTCTCCACCTGCAAAATAACAAATAAATCACAACTATTTTTTATCATATTCGAATAAAAAAAAAAAACATATTTTCTTCAAGTAATGCATACAAAAGAGAAGGATTGAAGGAAGAATTATTACCTTGTATAACATCCCTGAAAGGAACAAATTGAACTATATCACGAGATGCAAGCCGGCCTGTTGAGCTTTGGAGACTTTCACCTTTATCTGCATCTAAAATCTGCATGGAATGTGAGTAGTAAATGACAGTTTTACCCTTTCGTATGAGGAAAAAAAAAACAAATTGTACTACCTCCATCTCATTGAAATCAGCTCCACCAACCCCAATGATTAGGATGGACAATGGAAGATCTGACGCCTTTACAAGAGCATCCTTTGTTTCTTGGAGATCTGATATCACTCCATCCTGTTTGTTAACAAATGAAAACGTATTTCATTTCATATTATCATTGTGTTAAATTGTTAAATTGTTAAATTGTATGAATACCGTGATGATTAATAGAACAAAATACTTCTTCTCATTAGCTGCCAAAGCCTGCCCGGCTCTCAGTCCTGCAGCCTTTATCACAGGTCCAAATATGGTGGGGCCCGCTAGTGAAACATTAAAAAGAGCCTGTCTATATGCTGTCATGATACCTTCAATCCCTTCAACCTAAAATTTCCATAATAAAAAAAACAATTAAACCTTAGCAGCATCATCAACAAATTGGACAGAGAATTGCTGTCAATCTTTCCACTGTGAAAAAGACATGAATGCCCTTTTCACCCTTATAAAAAAAATTAAAAGTTTCAGGTTCACCTCTGAGTTGACACTGCTTCCGTTTAGGTTGAAGCAATGAGAGACTGGGCCATCAAAAGGGCGAGCTCCAAAACCCCATAAAGGAAATTTCTTGTCATAATCATAAAAGTGAAGTACTTCACCAACTTCAAGTATTGCCTAAAACAAGTGGAACATCATTACTATTTGTATTTGTTTAACAGGTGATTAAATTGTAGCTTCTCACTTTTTGGTATGCATTTGGACGTCCAGAATGGTCTATATAATGCAAAGAATCTGGCTGACGTGGATTTCCATTAGAATCTGAAAATTATGTAAATATATACAACAGAAGGTAAGCAGGTTTGTTTGACAACAAAATCATATATATCCATAGTTGTCTGTGTAGAAAAAGAGCAGAAATACTTGTAAAATCTACAGCCACCATGAAGTTCAATTCACAGCCACCAGCCAAGTAATCAAGGAAGGTATGCTGGACCCTTTCAGAAAACTTATCCACAAAGAGTTGACTTTTCAGTATCTGTGTATATATTATATTATAAATATAAATAGGTAAGAGAAAAGCACTATAATATCTGTAGAGTCAGATGAATAATTATTAGTGGTTAAAACCTTTTTCTGATTGTCTTTATCAAGTGATGGAAACATATGCACTCCCTGACCACTAGAAGATAATTTTTCTAACTCAGCAAGCGACTTCTGGACTTTGCTGAATGACCCAAAATATTTAAAAAAAAAAAAAAAAAAAAAATCAAGGTTTCAATTAATAATAAAGAAATATAACGATTTCCTACCCAAGTGGATTGTGATTTCCGTTACTATTATAGTTGAAGCACTCAATAGTCAGTGGAGTGTCCTGGATAGATTTAAATTAAATAATTAAAAAGTGACTCCATATTGCATATATATGAGACTGAATGATAACATATTTTATTACCTTGCTACCCACTTGTGAAGTGTACAAAAGAAATGGTTTCCAAATTGGATTTAAATTATTTTTCAGAACTTCTGTTTTGTAAACTGGAATAGTAGTCCCACCCTCCACACGTTTTGAAATTACTAAAAAGGAATCCTGAAACAAACAATATGAAATAAGTAAATCCAAGTCTACTCTACTGTAATGATTAAAAAAAGAATTAAGTACATACACTTTTGGAGAAGAAATCCATATTCTTTAAATCTGAGCACCTAAATGTTAACTCAGTTGTAGTCTTGGACACAAAAACTTCTTCTGCATGAACATTGAGCTTCCCTTTGTTTTTTGGACGTGTGGTGTTGGTTGACTCTATTACATCCACAAGATCCATGGTCAACAACCAATTTGGTTTGGTGACTATCTACATAGAAATAACATCAATCTTTTATAAAAATCAAAACTTACAGATTTCAATTTTAATTATATATAACATAGATAGTCAGAAGATGTTTCATCATATTTCCAAGAAACTAAAAAAGCAAAAAGATTGATTGTTCATAGTTCATAGTTCATAGTTCATACCTCAGATAATGTACAAGTAGCCTCTCCCAGGAATTGTTGTTCATCCAACTTAAGTGTCTGCAGAACAAACATATTACTTTGAGTGTCGAATCTTTGAGAAAAGTTAATAGATAGCAGAATTATATAATTTATTACACCTTTACTTGTGGGCCATGGAGTTTCCTATCAACATCATATACCCTGAACCTGTAATGTAAGATGATATTTTGTTTAGATATAATTTAAAATAAATGTACATGTATGAAATAGAAAATCTGACCTAGTAGAACTTACAACAGCATTTGAACCATTTCAAAATGATAAGTAACAGTGTGTTTTGTGATCCACTGTGGATTTAATGAATTTAGAACAATTTCTGTACGACCAATCTCTTGTAATGAGCCATCATTTCCTTTTGTATAAATAACTGCCATGGGATCACTCTATGGATAAAATAAAACATATATTTGTTAGAGAGCAAGAAACTTTATCAGCTTCTAAAAACAAGAAACAAAGCAATATTTCACTCAAAATGCATAGATTTATAAGTACATGAAGTCATGTTTAAATCGGTGTTCATAAATAATGAGAACATACCTTGGAAAACATATCCATGTCACGCAAGTTTGAAGCAGACAAAGACAGCTGCAAGAATTTGATTATTAATTACATCAGTTTGACATATATGTAGGTTATCAGGTATAACAACAATACATTGATAATCATAATTAACCATATGTCTACCTTACTTATGAGTGAACATCAAAGAACACTTGTTTAGAAACGATGCTTAAAATTTAAAATAGTAGTGCTGTTATAAATTCTATAGTCAGGAGATACATCAAATCAAAATTGAAAACCAGCCCATTGTCCCCTTTTTATAGGAAGCAACTACATGCTGCTACACTATACGTGTATACCCAATACAGACATAGCTTCGTCTTTGGGCTGAAAATTACCTCCCTCGATCTAAACCTGCACATAGTCCGAACCTATTTTTCAACAACCAGCATGAAACATAACAAACTAGTCAACTGATTCATCGATCAAAAACCTCGACTAATTAAGAACTAACACTTAACACTTAACACTTAACACCTTCACTCTGCATTTGTACAATGTATTACACTACGCGTGATAGGTCAAATATTACACACTCCATTGGACGTAAACAAACCAAGTAATACAGGTAAGCAAACAGAAAAGTCATCCTAAAAATGATCGGAAATTAGAAAAATAAATAGGTGTGTGTGTGTGTGTGTGTGAGAGAGAGAGAGAGAGAGAGAGAGAGAGAGAGAGAGTACCTCGATCTGAGAAAAGAGGCCATGGTAACCACGAGATTTGAGAAAAACATCTACGGCATCATTAGGACCGGGAGCATCGGGATTATATGGAGAGCCGCCGACGGCGGCCTTGTCGTCGGTAACGTCGGAGCAACAATTGCCCATCGCTGCTGCTGATGTTTAGAAAAATGAAAATGAAAATGAAAATTCCAGTGAAGGTAAAAGGGGGTCGACTTTTTAAAGTTGAATTGGAGTGGAAAATAGTACTATTATTTTAAGACCTCGACGGGACCTGGGAAGGTTTCCAGGAGATAACGGGCGGAGCTGGTGGAGTTAAACCATTTTTACTTTAAATAGACAAAACTACACAAATGGTCATATAGTTTGTTTAAAATTGTCACTTTGGTCAAAAAAAGTTTAGACTAGCACCATAGGTCCAAAATTTTCATTTTGTTGCGAGTTTGGTCCGATTTGTTTTGAATTTTTTTTAAATGACGAGTTTGCCCTTCATTTTTTTTTCATTTTCTATTTTTCTTTATTTTAATAACTAAAAAGAAAAAGAAAAATGAAAATTTGTGTTGTTACCTCCCCCCCCCCCCCTCTATCTCTCTCTACATTAACCACACTTAAATACTCAAACTAAAAACACTACCACCGCCTGAAAATATAAACAACATCACCGCCAAAAACTATAAACACCACAGGTCAACACCACCTCTTGGAATACCTCTTATCTGAAAACCCTCGTTTTCCAGTGCCGACTTCTCAAATCTGTTGAGCTATGAATGGCACCACATGACAAAACCATCACCACCACAGTTCAACACCACCGTCATCATAGATTTTTCGACAAAGGCTTTGATTAGGGTTTTCATCTTCAACCCCCATCATCTTCGATTAGGAAATGCTTATAGAAACACCCTTGGATTCCCTAATCGGTTTCCACTACCGGAGAAGTTGAATCAAAATCTGAAGAGCCAGGGGTTTGTTTTCATCGAAAAACTTTTCAGATCCTAGATTTCCTAGGTCTATTTTCAAATCTGATGTTTTCGCCAGAAAAACAATGGGGTACAAGATCGACGATGCTAGTTTTGGGTTTTCATACGGTGGTGGTGGCTTTAAACCCTGGGGTACATGACCGACAGCACTAGGATCGTTGGGGAATGAGAGGCGGTGACATAGACTACACACCGTCTTCGTCAACGAGTCGACAATCAAGGATTCGTCGACGCTAACACAGAGATGGTCACGGTGGCGCCAGAAATCCAAACGACATAGAGACAGATCTGGATGTCGGCGACGTTGCAGATCCGGCGTTGGATGTTCCGATCTTCACCTTCATCGTCAGTGGTGGTTTGGATTTTCTGGTGAAAAGGTGGAGGAACCCTGGCAGTGGGTGGCGTTTTCCGGCGATATGGCGGTTTCTGGGGATGGCAGTTTCCGACGGGGAACTGGATTCCGACAATAGATGAGAGAGAGAGAGAGTCTAAGAGGGGTGTTAGTGGGGTGGGGAGTGGGTGGTTTATTAGGTAGTAAGTTTATATTTTATATTTCGTTTTTTCTTTTATTGTAATTAACTAATAGTAAAGAAAAGCAAAAAAGAAAGAGATATGGGTAAATCCATCATTTGCTGAATTTTTAAAATGATTTTGGACTAACTAAAACAACAACAAAATGAAAACTTTGGACTTGTGTGTTAGTCCAAACTTTTTTGGACCAAAGTGACAATTTTGAACAACCACATAGACCATTTGTGCAGTTTAATCCTTTAAATATTATAAAAAGTAAATTACGTAATTGGTCCCTATGGTTTTTCTCATTTTACAATTTTGGTCTAATATTTGAAAAGTTAATAAAACCATTCCTATGATTTGGAAAAGTGACAAACCTTGGTCCCTGTTCCAGAAAAAAAACAAATTTATTCTTTTCAACTTTTGTTTTGATTTTTACCTATTTAGGAAATTTAATAATACAATTTTAATAAATGACTAACCTCAACCCATCCCACCCACCGTTTTTCTTCTTCATCAACGCCTCCATTTTAATCTTTGATGACCAGTTTTACAATCTCCGATCATAACCTTCGTCATCTCTGGTAACCATATAAAATCTATCAACCTAATGAACCATATGTTTGAACTATAACAACCTATCAACTTAATATATAACTTAACTGATTAATTTAATAGTGATCTTAATTTTTTTTGGTGGTGACATTGCATTGTCTTGGTAAATATGTTTCCTTATATTTAACAAAAGAGTGGGACCTGTATATATTTTTAATGTATTTACTTCATGAGTTATAGAGATACAGAAATAGATTTAAATATAGATAGAGATTTTAGGAGTAAAACACTTAATGTAAATTTATCCAAACCTTCACGGTAAAAATCCCGACAACCTCAATCAGCCCATATTTAACAATCTTAAGCCTATCATGTAACTGATAAATCAAATATACATTATTATGATAGAATTAGAACACGGGAACCAACTACTAGCAAGGAGTTTCTTTAAGGAGGAAAACTACAATTAGAGAAAAACAACAAACACTCACCTGTAAGCTTCGGATGGGTGTTGTTAATCACACCCAAATTGACCTACGCATAGGTTCAAATGACCAACCATCATACCTGCACATAATTATTAAACCCAAACGTATCATAAGTCACAAACCACAATATAAATAAATTTTAAATTTGTGGTCCCTCATCTTATATATTATTTTCAACTATGATCATTTTCATATATATATATATATATATATATATATATATATATATATATATATATATATATATTGTTTTTTACAATTTATTAATTGTTTATGAAAATTGAGTACCTGAAAATGATGTTTTTATTAGAAACTATTAAACTTATTGATTAATAATTGTACTAATAAACCTAAAAATTTTACCATGTCGGTTTCAAAATCTGATATGTCACTACTGAAATAACTTCTTTTATTATCACCATTTGAGATATATTGCTTGTGTGAATATCGTTACCCTAATGAATACATATAAATATGAATATAGGATATACATAAACATAAATATCTTAACAGTAATAAATGAACGTACATCGTAATTTAAGTCATCATTCAATTTAATTCATCAAATGATGGCAAAATACTTGGGCCGACTTATGTCATTACTTAAAATAAATTGTTTTCCAAAATTATGTACGATGAAAATGAAAGTGGACGTGGCTATTTATAAGAAAACATTACTTATGTTATGATTAAATATATTGACTTATGTGTCGGTATCGTTGAATTTTGTGTCAGATAAAAAATGTCATTTGAATTGTAGATAAGAAATGTCATTGAATTGTGTGTATCATTACATTTATAGTCATCTTATTTATAATTTATTTTCGATTTTCATCTATTTTATTTTTAAAACATTATTCATATATTTTTATCTTTTTGTTTATCTTTATAATATTTTTGATTTCATCTTTCTACATTTAAAATTATAAAAGAGTGTCATGTGTAATATTATTTTATAGTTACAATTACAATAACTAAAGAGAAGAAGTTATAAATATATAATACAATTAAAATGAGTCAAAAGAGTCGTGTCAAATAGTTTTATTTGTTTTACCTCAAATGCTAAACATGGCATCATTTAAGCTACACCCTAACCCTATGCCAGCTAAATGCAAACTTCGTGTGGACTTTTCATAGTCAAACTCGAAACACTTGAATACTCCTGGGTCATTTAATCTGTTTATTTTCAGCTATTTTTAGTTTAGCTATTTGATCCGTTAGAGATAACATATAAGCTAAAATCGACTTGGCAAATATAGCTCTCTATTCTCCATTTAGAAGGGAACTATTCTCTATTAATAGAAAAGTTAACCTCATACATTTTTTAAGTTTCTGATGCAAACTAAAGTCACAAAATATTCACAAAGATTCTAACTACCCCTCACCAAAAATTTACAACCAAAACCATGTCATCACATTCTTCTAAGTACCCAATCTTTCGCCACCTGCCAACTGTCAGCGTAACCCCCCAGGAAACAAGTAATAAGATGAAACTGGCAACTCATGCCCTTGCGATTGTGTATGAGATTGAGGAGGACGCGGTCCACCATAAGGAGTTGTAGGCCGCAGTTGCAGAGGAGAACCATAAGCAGCTGGTGGTGGGATAGGGTAAGAGTTGTGACCCAAATACCTATCAGCATCCAATCCAAATCTTTGATCACACGGATGCATTGTCATATAGCTGTCAAAAAAACCAAAATTTAGATCACGTTTTTCAAAATTACAATTTTGTCCCATTGACATCAGTTACCTTGGATATGGTTGATGATACAGATGACCTGGCGGAGGTGGGGGGTGATGGGCGGGGGCAACAGCTGGATGGCAATTATGTAAATGTGGGTTTAGGTTTAGCCCGTTTTGCTGACCCAATTGAGGAAGATTATGAATTGGTTGTCTATACGTATTTTCTAAAGGCGTTTGTTAATGAGCTGTTGATCCATCCATTAATATTATTTGTGGCAGGTATCCTCTGTGGTTCAGGTGCACCATTAGGTGCTGTAGGGTATCGTGCAGGGATGGGACGAAACAATGACAGAAGTGCCCTCACCTGCAATTTTACGAAAATACCCCAAATGGGTATTACTATTATATAAGTTTTGGGAAAATTGGGGAAAATGACAGAAAGAAAATTGTGTTTACCAGTTGACTATTAAGTTCTGGTGCAAACTTTGGGCCTTGATAATTTTCTTTAATGGCATGTCTGAATGTACCTATGGGGAGTGGAAGAGACTCCTTGTAAATCTTGAATCTTACCTACAAAGATTTTTATAAAATTATTTACGTAATTTTAGATTATGATTTTATATAAATAAAAGATTTTACCTGTGCTGGAAACATTCCACCAAAAGCAGCAGATTCCAAGTTCATTCCTCCATTGGATGATGCTTCATAGACACCATAAAGAAGCTTCACATCAGTATCAAACAGAAAAAGCTTGGTGCCTGGTTTGATCTTTTCAACAACTTGTCTTCTACCAGAAGGAAGACCAAAAACTCGGTTTATATAACACTCTGGTTTAGTTTTTCCACTACACATGAATATGTAACCACAGAATTCTTCTTTTTTATCATTCACAGGAGCAAGAGCACTGTTTTCTGAAGAATGATGAACAGTGTCTTTAGATATGTTGTTTGTTAACTTCTTGAAATGTTTTTTGGCATGAGGTCTGCTTGAATCTTGTCCTTGTTTTTTGGCCATGATGAAAACTGTTAATACTGCAAAATCAAGATAACACCTCAATGTCAGGAAGCAAGAACATTCAATATCTGTATGTATTAATAGAAACGCACATGATTCTAAAGATTCTAATAAACATGATCTTGTAACTTATAGGGTTTCCTATAAGTTCCCTTAAGCTATATATTGTTTTATCTCAATTTTATATATGTTTCAAACTTGGAATGAATTCTATAAAACAATAACCAGTCCAACTTGATGCATAACCAACTAATAAGAGATGACAAACAAATAATGGAGTAAATTATGTACAGGAATTCTGTAATATCATGTTTCATTGTGCTTTTTCAAAAATTGCGCAATATTCAATTAGGTTCTGTACGAAATCTCGATAAGACTAAATTTAAAACACACACACACACAGTCAGGACTCAAAGTAACCCCAAGAAGAAAAAAAATATATAGGTGGTGTTAGGTCGCATGGAATTCGAGATTTGGAATTAAAATCGGATGCAAATTATGAACAAATTTCGTTTGGATTCCTTCCCAAGATATTCGGGTGAATAAATCTTACATTTCGACATCAACAACATATTGAAAACCGCAAGGAAGCAATGTGTCCAAGAATCGAAACAATACGGCCACATGTAGAAACAAATATACAAAAACCCTAATTTGTAATCAATAGAACGAAGAAGACGAAGATAAAAAAAAATGGCGAAATAACCTGAAAGATGAAAGGTCCGAGGGTTCTTGCAGAGAGTAGAGAGTGGGTGGGACAAATATGACTATGTAAAGGATTTACGCTAACCGTCATAAAAACCTTATATTTTGACTTTTTGTCTTTTTAGACCTAAATTTTTTTTCTTTTTCGAAAAAGACCCAACTTTTATGTGTTACTTGTTATTTCAGACCCTAGGTAAATTAGGTATTTTTGTTTCATAAAAGACCCTATATTTTGTAGTTGTTTCCATTTTAGACCTAAAATGTTTTTTTTTTTTCAAAATAAACTCAACTTTAAAATTGGTTATAATCTTCAAGACCAAATATATAAGGTACTTATTGACTACACCGAAAAAGAAAGTATACATGTATACACTAAAAATGTTATCTAATCTATTATATTTTTGAGCGAATATAACCTAAAAGAAATACAAAATTTTATTTTTGTCTAAAAGATATAATTAAATTTTATCTTGGATATATATTATATCATTAAACTTGATATTTTGTTTATAGAAAATGTTATTATTACCGCTAATAAAAAGTTTGATGTTAATTTGATATTTTTTGGTAACATGGATAATACATGGCTAAGAAGAATCTTTTAGCATAATAACAATTTTTTTTATTTGTAGAAAAAAAAATACCATATCATTTAACAAACTATATACAAAATAATTTTTTTAGTTTGTCTATTATACTTATTTGGTGAGTTTGGACATATTTCACTCTCTCACTTTTCTATATTATTTTTTTGGCCGAATTTTTTAATTAATTTTTTTAGAACAGTTAACAAACGCACTCACTATTATACTTCTAAACCAAAACCATAGAATATTTTATAGCATTAGCCTATTATTAAATAATATGTTATAATTATATCAAATAAATACATAAAAATATTAATCATAAACATTCGTATTAGTTTTGTTTAGATATATGAGATTCTAGTTTAAGACTTCCTTAAAAAATGTTAACATCACATATGGATACATAAAACTATATTTTGTGAATGAAACCATTTGAGCATAAGTTGAAAATCCAAATAACAAGAATGATACCGCACACTTAAATATCAAAATACAATGGTTGACATTGTTAACAATGGTTGGAATGTGGTGAATGAGCAAAACGGACAAACTATGAATTTTGTTGTAGAGAAAAGAAAATTGAATAGTTGGCCTACTACCTCATTTTATTAAACTATCTTATGTATACATTGTGTTTAGATCAATGCATGGTGTTTGTATATCACTGTTATTGATTCTTAAGGATAATCATAATAATTACCAAAATAAAATTTAGGATTTTATTTTAATTTGAAATGATATAATCACGTTTTTATGCATGAACGAAGTTACGCTTCATTAAATCGGTATAGTTAAGTACCTTATACAACTAGTGTTAAAGGTTGTAACCAATTTTAAAATTGAGTTTATTTTGAAATAAAAAAAAACATTTTAGGTCTAAACTGGAAAAAAGTACAAAATTTAGGGTTTTTTATGAAATGAAAATACTTAATTTCCCTTTTGGTAACCTGCTAGGGTCTAAAATAACAAGTAATAGGTAAAAGTTTGGTCTTTTTCGAAAAAGAAAAAAGTTTTAGGTCTAAAAAGAAAAAAAAGATCAAAATATAGGGTCTTTTATGGAAATAACCTTTTTTATAACGGTTAGGAAATGGAATATTTACGGTGTGCCGGCGAGGAGTAAGAGTAATTAATCTCTTTGACGGTTTAAGGTAAAATCTTTTGAAAGTTATAAATATGTAAGTAGATCTTATGAGTTTTAAATAAGATAAATCATTTGTTTATGTAAGGAAATTTGAACTTTTTTTTTTTATTAATTTGTACGAAGGAGTAGAAGCTTTATGTATATTTATGTAATTGTGTTTCATCTATCCCTAGATTATTTTTACCTAAAACTAGTTTGATGGAGACAATGCATTGATTTTCATGGTCAAGATAAAAGCAAGTACAAAACTACTGTTCCAAACACGATATAATTATTATCACCTGTCAAAAATGTAATAGTTATAAGATATCGTTTTATGTCCAATATACAATAGTAAGTGTCAATTATGTAATAATGTGTGTAGTGTGCATGACATATGTAATAGTTAGTGACAAATATGTAATAATATGTGTAGTGTGCATGACATGTACTCAACGATGAATAGTAGCATCAGTTGCATGTCCTATATGTAATAATCTAAAATTAGGTATATGTCTAGTATATGTATTTGACTAACAATAGTTAGTCCTTTTATCGTTTGTAAAATATTGCCTACATAAGGATCATTAATCCTATATAATAAAGTTGAGCGAAAATTTATGAAATGAGTTTACCTTCAAATTTATCTGTTAAAGTTTTTAACTTTTGAATAGCATACTATATATTTTAAAAATACTTTCCAATAATTGAACTCGTACGATCAGATCATCTATCAACAATATCATCCAAGTATTCAACTCATATGATTAGGTACTCTCTTGTCTATTATTATTGTTATTTTGATATTTTATATTATGATTAATTTTAAAATACAATATGAAACAATACACAAATTATTTCTAGTTTTTATCTTATAATCATGGGTTCTTTTCATCAAAGGGAGTGAAAATGGTGAAATTGTTCTTCATTGTGGAAAGATTGTGATCAGTGGCGAGTCTAGAACGTAAAACTACATGGTTCGCTATTTAAATGAAACCGATAAAAGAAGAAAAATATTATATATATATATATATATATATATATATATATTATTGCGGGTTCGGATCGGGTCGAGTCGTAAAAGCAAAGAAAAAAAATAAGTTCTTACAATTGTACTCGACGAGGTCTTATAGCTTGATATAATTTCACAATTGTATCATTACTAATATTATCTAAAACATTTTTTTTTTCAATATATGACACCGTTTTATCACTTAAAAATTGATCACCCATTTTGTTGCGTACATTAGTCTTTACCAACTTCATTGTTGAAAATGCGCGTTCCACACTCGTTGTTGCAACGGGTAAGATCAATGCAAGTTTTAAGAGAAGGTAAACCTTAGGATATATTATATGCTTTTGTCCTTCGACCATCTTTTTGGAAAGTTCTCTAATGCTCTTCAATTGATTAAATTGTTCATCTTCTCGCACATTCTTAATGTAATTTTTAAGTTCAACTTCAAGAACTTGAAGATCATATTATGTTGGAAAGTCTTCCCTATAAAGTGTAGCCATTTCCATTAGTTTATCCAAGTCAAAGGCTTTAAAAGACTCATGCGGGCACAAACAAGCTATGCAAAGAAGTAATTTCGTGTTGGTTTCATTAAAGCGATGGTTAAGCTTTTGAAGTTGCATATCAATCACCGCCTTAAATACATCAACATTATAGTGGTGCACGTTGTTAACCTGAAAAAAAATCTGTAACATGCTAATGACAAAACACAATAAATAAATCAAGTTGGTAATATCAAACGTTACCAACCTGTGAACATCTTCGACGACTGAATCCATCATAATATTCATCTTCCATATCCACAATTTTAACATCATGTTTATCGCAAACAAAGTAACATTCCCTAAAATTGGTTTCCATCCTACATCTCTAATTTCTTAAATTGTTTTTTTAGAGCTACTTACTTGATTCATAGCATTTACGATATCTTGGTCTTTTCTTTGTAATGTTGTATTTAAATGATTTGTGACTCCCAAGATATCAACCATCAAGTGTGACAAAACACAAAATCAAAGGATTTTAATAACCTTAAGATGCGAATTGCTTCAGCTTTACGATCATGATCACTATTATCTCTACCAAGGTCTTCAAGTACTTCACAAATTGAAGAATATATGTTCTTGATATTCAATAGAGATGAAAAATGAGAACCTCATCGAGTATCATATGGTCATTTGATACCCACTTCTTGGTTCAAACTTGTACCACTCTCAAGCTCACCTAAAATTTACCATATAAAAGTTTAATTAGAATAACATAACCACAAAATATTTTAATAATAAATCTAGTACAATTATAAAGCAAACCTTCAACCAATGCTTCTATAACTTTATTCGTTTGTTTTATTCTTAAACTATTTCGTCGCTTGTAGGAAGATCCAATAATGTTTAATAGCCGAGAAACCGCATCAAAGAAATCATTAACCTTCGTGTGATTTTTTGCAACAAACACTAGGGCTAACTGTAATTGGTGAGCAAAACAATAAATAAAGTATGCAACTGAAAGAAAAAAAGCCCACAGTAACTATTCGATATTATTAAAATAGTTGTAATCGGCAATTAAGTAATTAACAATCGGAGCAATTCATGGGATTTGTGAAGATTTGTGATTTGGGAATTGTAAATCATCGATTAACCGTTTGTGGTATTAGAATTCCAAAACAAAAAAAATTAATATATTATTCACGATTCATAAAATGACAAAATTAATAAAATTGAGTAATTGAGTAATATACTTATGGTGGTCAAATGCCAAATGGTTATAATATGAATATATGATCGCCGCATGAATGAAATTGAAGCCTTCATGCCTCTGTGAAAACTGCCGCTGTTCGTGAGGCAACTTAACTTCTTCTTCTTCTTTTTTTTTTTTTTTTTTTTTTTAATTTAATTTATATTGGGCTATGCATATTGGATTATTTTTAGGGCTACTAAAACATTAAACAAGGGCTCTAAATATCGAATTTATTATTATATAATTTTTGTCAAAAATATTTAGATGGTTCAGTCATATTTTTTTTAAGGTGGGTCCCACTAATTTATTATATATAACTTGTAATATAAAAAAAAGGTGGGTCAAGTGACCCACCAAATATATATACAAACTCGCCACTGATTGTGATTGTTAGGACATTTTACACCCACACCCATATAATTTTACACAAATGATAATCATTCAAGTAATTTATATGTAGATGCCACTGTAGTAAGTTGATCGGGTTGATCCCGTGCTATTAAATGCTTTTAAAAAACAAATTGAAGCAAGATGCCAATAAATTGAAGCAAGATGATGATGCAAAATTTGAATTTATGGAAATTCGGTTAATTAAAATTTGAAAGCATGAAAAAGTTCTAAATAATATATAATAGTGTTTATTAGTGATGATAAAACAAATTTATTTGTTTTGCCTTAAAGTTTATTGATTTCATACATCAATGCTAATACCAAATTGTTGATAATCTAACAGTATCTCTTGGTCAAATCAATCACCACGTGGGTCTCATAACAGAAATAGACAAAAGGTGTTTTATAAGAAAAATCACAATATAATACTATCTTTATAAAAATATATATTTAAGTAATAATTATAAAAAAAGTTAAATAAATTTGTGAGTTTTAATTTTTGTGACAATGTATGTATAGGGCATTGGCATTATGGCTATGGCATATTGGCATATGAATCGAATTTGGAAGGTATATTGTTATATTTGGGCCAAACTGAGCTGGGCTATGGAGCTATTGAAGCACTAACTAGAAGCCCATAAGTGTATTCCTAAACTGCTAAACAGTCGGCGTCCAATTCTCCTCCATCAATGGCGGGCGAATCTCTACAGTTGAACGCTACACGGACAAGCGGGGCTGCTGGTGTTTTTCTTACCAACAGTCATACTTAACTCATTGCAGGTGATGAGGATCGCGATTATTAAACGGATTTATTTGCAGAATAAGCGTACTTGCATCCGGCAATGGCGCTCAAACCACGCAGCATCCAGTATCGGGTTTCCTCCTAACGAACCTTCAGGTTACTTACCTCTTCATCTCTCACAGACTCGCTGAACAAAACTTAAATCAATTTATTTTTAACTCCATCTATTTCCCTACTGGATTGCGAACAGTTTTCGTGGAATTACTCTCTTACACCTTATTTTGACGCACACAGCATTGAAACAATTGACAGCATCCATCGGAGTTCGCAAATCACTGGCATCATTGTTTCATCTGTTTATTGACACATTATAATCACTTCTCGTAAATCATTGATCTCATACACGCACTAGTTTTCAGCACACATTATAATCGATATATTTGAAGCTTTGTGTAGAACAATATATGCGATTTCTAAACATAAATGTTAATGCTAGAAAATATTGGTGCTTTATTTTTGAGGTCGAAAAAGAATAGGTTACACTTCAAAGAACTTCTGTTATGAACTTTTCACTTGGAAACTCTTGTGTATATTAAATCCATTCTCCTTTTATGGAACAACAGTTTCAAACCATCAATTGTTACTCCGTTCTCTGGAAGAATGCAAGTTTTCAACTAATTCAACATCTGTTAGTGGAACACATGCAAGAATCATTAAACTCGGGTACCAGACATGCCCATCTCTCACATCACTTCTAGTTACTACATATCTATCTTTCAATCTTCTCTCTTTTGCTCATCAATTACTTAATGAAGTTCCTTATCACAAGTTCAATATAGTTTCATGCAATTTGATCATTGCAAGTTTCATGAAAATGGGAGATATTGATATTGCCAAGAAAATATTCCGTAAAATGCCCAAACGAGATTTAATATCCTGGAACTCAATGATAGGAGGTTTTGTTAAGAATGTACAATTTCAAGAGGCATTTGGGATCTTCAGAAAGATGTTAAGTTCAAACATAGAGCCAGACAAATTCACATTTTCATCCATAATCACTGCATGTGCTCGTGTTGGAGCTTTAGACCAAGCTAAATGGATACATGGTTTGCTAACCGAAAAAAGAATTGAACTCAATTTTATTCTGAGTTCTGCACTTATAGACATGTACTCAAAATGTGGTAGAATTGAAACATCAAAAGCAATTTTTGTAAGTGTAAGACATGATCATGTTTCTGTTTGGAATGCCATGATCAATGGTCTAGCAATGCATGGTCTTGCCATGGATGCCATTGAAACTTTCTCAAAGATGGAAGCTAACAATTTTTTACCAGATCAAATTACTTTCATTGGAATCTTGACTGCATGTAGCCATTGTGGTTTGACTCAACAGGGGCGTGAGTATTTTGACCTAATGAGAACAAAATACAAGATTAAACCACAACTTGAACATTATGGATCAATGGTTGATCTGTTTGGGCGAGCTGGGCTTCTAGAAGAAGCTTATGAAGTGATTCAAGAGATGCCAATGGACCCTGATGTTGTTATATGGAGGGCATTTCTTAGTGCATGTAGAACACATAGAAATCTTGAGTTGGGTGAATTTGCAGTTGCAAAAATATCAAATCTTGATAGTGGAGATTACGTGTTACTCTCAAACACATATTGTTCAGTTAATAAATGGGATAAATCTGAAAAAGTGAGAAGTATGATGAAAAGGAATGGTGTTAATAAAAGTAAGGGAAAAAGTTGGATTGAAGTTAATGGAGTCATTCATCAATTTAAAGCAGGAGATAAATCACATTCTGAAACGGAATCAATCTACAAGGTTCTAGAAGCATTGATTGGGCGTATTAGACATGCAGGATATGTTCCTGTTACAGAATTGGTTTTAATGGATATATCTGAAGAGGAAAAGGAAGAGAATCTGAATTATCATAGTGAAAAGTTGGCATTGGCTTATGGGATACTAAAATCAAGCCCTGGATCTGAAATTAGGGTTTCAAAGAATTTAAGGACATGTCTTGATTGTCACTCTTGGCTGAAATTGGTTTCTAAAGTATTGAAAAGGGTAATTATTGTAAGGGACCGGGCCCGCTTTCACCACATAGAAGATGGTGTTTGTACATGTGGCGATTATTGGTAACTTGTAAGTTATTATTATAAATATTTGTTACTTACATTACAACAATTTTCATAGCATTTTACATAATAAATTAACTATCTTGAATGGGAACTAATTTCAGTTTGCCTCCATAAATTTCTGGAAGTTGACTCTCATCAATGTCTTTCAGAAGTGTTGACTTCAGCTCCTTATTTTCAACAAATATGATCTGCAATGTAAGGTAAACATAAATTCAATTATACTTTTGTACTTGTGTACTTGATCTTATTATTTGCACCATTTATGACTTCCATATGAAGGTGTTTACTTTAGGATGCAGACAATCTTACCTTTTCCCTTGTTTTTTTATCGATAAAAGGATAAATCATCTTCCATGCTGCCATAAATATGTAAGGAACATGCAGAAAAAACATTTTTCCAAGTCTTTCTGGATAATACTCCTGTCATAAACATCATTTTTTACATCAGAAAATAAACTTATACTAGGACTATATGCAATTTATCTGTGTATTATATCATCCTACTTTCATTTCTTCCTACTACAACATCATACAGCTATTTTTTTTTTCTTATTAAGAGTTTAAGAAATTTTTTTACCCAATTATAAAAAGTGAAAGTACATTGCTATTTCTTGCATATGAATATAAAATATACACAACATAAATACCTGCAAAATAGAGATGGAGGCAAGATATGCACGTATATCACTGTTTGAATATCCCCATCCTTCAACATCTGCAATAGCAACAAACTTTTCCTGTCCAGGTGGCATCCTGATATATTCATTTTTCAAAAATCAGTTATCCAGTATTTTTCTAGATAATATTAGTCAAAAATCGGTTATTGAGTATTTTTTCAGTTCCAATATACTCATACCTTGAAGTTATTCTTTCAAAAGTGAAGGTCACAAAACCTGTGATTAATCACAAGTTAATTAGAGAAAGTATTGAAAATATATATTGGTAAATAATAAGTTAAAGAACATACGCTTGAATTCTTCTAGACCTCCTATTTTATTTTGGTAATGTCTGCCACCAAATACGAGTGTAATCAAGCGTCCACTTCTATCTGTTCCTTGCATGAACAATTTGTTTTGTGCTAATTCATTTGGGATTTCAGATACAGAAATTGAACCATTTGGAACAAATGTTTTTCTCCATTTAATAAACTTTAGAAGCATAGCAGAAGCTTTGTCTACATCCAGATCTTGAGCACGAAGAAATCTTCTGATTGTCAAATCATCATACTCCTAATATACAATTTTAATTATTAGTCTTACTTACTTGATCTTAGCATTCAAAAAAATCTAGAGATTTATTGAATTAGATGTTAAGAAGAACAGGATACAGTTACTTGTACATTATGCATTAAGACATATACCTTGGAGGTGGGATCTTGCTTTTCGACTATATCCCTGATTTGCTTAATCTTCTTGTGTTCTTCTTGGCTGATTTCATTATTCTGCACAATACCACTATTTCCGTCCATCTGTTTTACTTCCTCTCTAAACATGTTAATATTTGATTTACATGCCCATATTTATACAGATTTATATTTTCTGTGTGTCAGTGATTCTCTCTGTAATTATATATTACTTTTACAGAGAAGTTGAATTATGAAATTACTAAATAGGGCTTTGTTAGTTGTTTCTTTTTTACTTAATTTGGTCAGAATGACTTTTTGGGCATCATAAATTTTCACTTAGTACATGTACTACCTATGCATTATAAACATGCTTATAAACTAATAATCATGCAACACATTTTTTATGTGGAACTCAATAATATTGACATCTCAGAACTACCATCCATATTCCATATGCATATTGGAAATTGACTTTAGACCCTTGTGGTAACTACCATAAGTGTCAACTGGCGTGTGATAAATTTCCATTAGCATATGATCTAAAAACGTTTACTTAATGATCATTGTGAATGAAATATGTAACATTGATCATATAAACTAATAAACCACCTAAATTCTTGTGTAGTCTTTATTTTCTTCACATTTTGTACTTTCAACTAATTCAACATTTGTTATTGGAAAGCATCTCTCACATCAATGCTGTTTATATCTTTTAATCTTTTCACTTTTGCTTGCCAATTACTTAATGAAGTTCCTTATCACAAGTTCAATGTTGTTTCTTCCAATTTGATCATTGCAAGTTTTATGAAAATGGGAGACTATGATATTTTTATTGCCAAGAAGATGTTCTTAAAAATGTGTAGAAATACATGTTTTTGATGAAGCATTTGGGTTCTTCGAAAAGATAGCGAGTTTTTTTTATAACTAGTTTTACTTGTAACAATTTCTAAAACCAACCATTATAAACAACACACTTTACTTAAGTGTTGTTTCTTTTTGACTTTAATGGGCTTAATAGGGACAACACTAAGAGGCTGTTTTTTTTCCTATCGAATACTGTATGGGTGAAGTAGTTGAATGGGTAATGATGTCTGTTTTGATGAAGTGTTGTATGCAGAAGGTCTCTTTATTTTCTAGACTTAATAAACCATTTAGTAAATGACCATTTTACCCTTGCATTGCAAAAAATCAAATTTCACAATATTCATCACTTTTAATGTAAGAAGAGTTGGGAGGAAAAAATGGACCAATAGGTAAAGGCTTAGGGCATATTCGACATGGACCTTTTGAGAGTTGCTGGAAGCTTTTAGCTTTTTGCTTTAAGAAAAAGCTTTGTTCGGTAGTATGAGTTTTTAGCATTTATTTTAAACAAAAAGCTCCTAAATCAAAAACTACTTCAAGTAGCTTTTGGTTTTATCTAATTTTACTCCTTTAAAAACTAACAACTATTTTTGCTGAACACGTCTGCACAAATAAAAGCTACAACTTTCAGCTTCCAGCTAGTTTTGTCAAACACGTCCTTGGTCTCTTAACCCATGAAGTCATTAGGTTCAAATTAAATGTTTAACCCATCAAGCCAATTAAGTTAAAAAAAATGAATAGCACCTTAATCTAAAGTCTAAACGTTATTTATTTTTAACTTAATACATGCAACATCTTAATGGGCTGGGGTGAGGGTGTGTTTATCCATCAAGACGTTATTTTTAACCCTAAATTCATGTATTTCTTTTTTTCCCCAGCTGTACGGCTTGTATTCTTTGTGATTTCTTGGTTCTTCTTCATAATCAAATCTAATAATCCATGATTTCTTGGTGAATTGTTTGTTTTCTGATACCACATAAGCGTGATTCATAAAAAAATTCTCCTTGTTCATCACAGTTCACGCCACAAAAGGGACCAAAAAAAAAAAAAATCAAAACTGAGTAAACGTTTCTCTGTTTTTCATAACAAAGTTTTCCAGCTAGTTGTCACTTATCAGCATGCATGCTAATTTGACAAAAATCAAAAATCATTTGTTTCTTTATAAACGTTACTTTGTGATTCTCCATTTAAAAATATAAAATATGGTACATCTTTGTTATTCTCAATTAACTTTTTCTATCACCAATGTTTACACTTTCAATTTATAACAGTCCTTAAATAACGATCAACTGTTGGTGAAATGGTCAAATTTTCATATTCAGACTGTTTATACAGTCCAAAGTTGATACGAACATACTCCCTCCGGAGTCCAGACATCATACATGATTTATCCATTCAGCACTTTACCCATACAATGCTTAATGAGTAAAACAGAAAAAGAAACAGCCCCTTGTGACTCTTTCTTTAATGAATGATCTCACTTCTTAGGAGAACATAAACCAAACTAGCTATCTTGGATGGGAACCAATTTCATTTTGCCTCCATAGATATCTGGAAGTTGACTTTCGTCAATGTCTTTTAAAAGTGTTGACTTCAGCTGCTTACTATCAACAAATACGATCTGCAATGTAATGTAAACATAAATTCAATCATATTTTATTACTTTTACTTCGTGTGCTTGATCTTATTAGCCAATAATTGCACCTTACCTTTTTCTTTGTTTTTTCATCAATAAAAGGATAAATCATCTTCCATGCTGTCATAAATATGGAAGGAGCATGCACCACAAACATTTTACCAAGCCTTTCTGGATAATAATCCTGTCATAAACATCAATCTTACTAATTTATACTAGCACTTAATAATGCAAGAAATAGCAATGCACTTCCTCTTATAGCATCCTACTTTCATTTCTTTCTATTATACCTTCAATTCTATTTTTCTTATTTAGGCATTGTACTTTGAATGATCTACCCAGTTATATAATTGTACTTTCATCTCTTTTTTTTTTTAGTTGGACATTATACTTAAAAAAGTATCTACCCAATTATATCAGTGAAAATTGCTTTGTATCTTAATGACATTGCTATAAGTTACAAAATTTTCAAAGTATAAACCATGTAACATGAAGAAATGAAAGTAGGATGCTATTATAAATAAATTAGATGGTTGTAAACCTGCAAAATAGATAGGGAGGCAAGATATCCACGTATATCACTGTTTGAATATCCCCATCCTTTTACATCTGCAATAGCAACAAATTTTTCCTGTCCAGGTGGCATCCTGATAAAAATTCATATTTCAAAAATCCGTTAATAAAAAATATTAGTTAATTTTTTTTTTAATTTACAAATCGGATTCCAATATGGTCATACCTTGAAGTTATTCTTTCAAGTATGAAGGTCACAAAACCTGTGGTTTAATTCTAATCGCAATTAATTTGAGAAAAAATAAAATCAAAAAGTAATAAGTGAGTGTAAGAAACATTAACATACGTTTGAACTCTTCGAGGCCTCCTGTTTTGTTTTGGTAATGTCTACCACCAAACACGACTGTTATCAAGCGTCCACTTTTATCAGTTCCTTGCATGAACATCTTATTTTGTGCTAATTCATTTGGGGATTTCAGAAACAGAAATTGAACCATTTGGAACAAATGTTTTTCTCCATTTAACAAACTTTAAAAACATAGCAGAGGCTTTCTCAATGTCCATATCACGAGCACGAAGAAACCTTCTGATTTCCAAATCATCATATTCCTAATACACAAATTTGAATTATACTATATATTAAGATAATTACTAGATCGAGGTTGACTTGTACGTTTAGCATTAAGTCATGTACCTTGGAGGTTGGATCTTGCTTTTCAACTAAACTCCTCATTTGCATAATCTTCTTTTGTTCTTCTTGGCTGCTTTCATTATTCTGCATAATACCATTCTTCTCCTCCATTTGTTTTCTGTTTTAGTTTCTTTGTAAACATGTGAAATATAGAGATTTATAACTATATACAGAAACTAATTAATATTTGTATAATCTGTTGTCGGCTGGTGGCATCATTTAATTGGACGGTTAATGCTGGCGGTGACTTTTGCTAAATATAATATCTGTTGGGATGGGTAGTTGGATGTGGGCATCATCGTTAAATGCTAGGGGGATTTTTCATTTAGACCCCTTTAATATCTCTTACTTTCATATTTCCTCAAACATCTTTCACATGTAAGGTGCAATAAAATGTAAACCAAGGAGTATATGTTTTTTGCCATTAAAATATGTACATCTTTTTTAAGAACAAATAAGTTTTAGCTAACGTAATGAAACATGACTAAACGTCACAAATATTCAAAATAGTGGCCAATAACAAATTTGTAAACCTAGGGGCCCTTTTTGGAATAATGACCAAACTACCAAACTTGGGCATTTCTGTAAATTATGAAAACTTAATTTAACTTTAATGTGCCAAAAAATGGTATTTATAAAACGTTTAATTTCCAGCATCATGGTCAATGATGTCGTATCGTAATCCTATTTTGTGTATATTGACCGTCCAAACTTTTTAGCCTTTTTTTTTTTTTTGAAAAACGTTGGTGATGTCGTATCATAATCCTATTGTGTATATTGAGTGTGTGATTACATGATTATCGGTATGTAAGCAATAATTTTATAAAACTAACCATTTTTAAGGCATTCAGTATTTGGAACATGCATTGGTAACTGACCATTTGTAGTTTCAAAATGAAAAATCTTAAGACGACTTGAACAAGAAGAAAGAAATATAAGAGTCGTGTTTACTGATAGGAAGGAAGGAAAGCTGGCAGTTTTACATGTCCTTGAATCGGAAGGAAAGCTAGTGAAACGTATGTGTGTTCTACAACTTTGCCATGTTTATTGGTAAAGGAGGGCGACCGATTGGTTGGAAAAGAACCAATAAAGAAAAATAAATAAATAATAGAATTGGAAGACCAATTGAGTATGTGGTCGGCTGGCAATCTCATATTCACGACCATGATCTACACACATGGCAGTCTATGAATGGTCATTTCTTTTAATTTTAATAATTATTTATAGATCTGATTATATGTTTATTGAAAATTTTTAAAACAGTATATTTTATTGTTTTTAATTTCCATATATTACAAAAATTTTGGTTGTGTTAGATTGTTAATAAATGGTTAAATTTTGAATTTGGCTGGTTGGATACTTTAGATATGGACGAGAAAGAAAATTATTTTTTAATAAAAAAAATGGATCGTGATGTGTTGCTAATAAATATAGGTTAAGTATATATACGATAACTGTAGCTAGCTTGTAAATTAGAATAATAGGGATACTTTTGAAATTATAGAATTTTATAAAACATTTACCTCCATTTCCTTTCAAAAATAAATGAACTGGAGAACTAGACTTCTTTTTATATTTCTTTCCATTTATCTTTAAAAAAAATTGAGAACATAATGTAAGAAAAGTCAGGTTTTACCTTTTTATTGTTCATTTATTGAGAAAGGATGGATAGTTGTAATAAAGTAAGTTGCATACCGTGAGAAACAACGGAAACCTGAAAAAGATTAAATGGGAAAAATAACAATGTACTTTTGGATCGAAATTGTGGCATTAAAATAATTTTATTAGTATATGTAGAGTTGTCTAGTAATATATATATATATATATATATATATATATATATATATATATATATATATATAAGCAGTTATCGCGGTCAAAAATAGAATAGCGGTCACCGGCCGCTATTTGAAATCGTGGTTTTCGCGGCGGTATAACGGTGATATAGCGTTTTTTATATTATTTAGAAATTATATATATTAGACTGTTAATCAGTAAATCATACTTTAAAGTTCAACCTAATCCAGTTGATTAGTTAATCAGTAAATCATAATTCACATATCATATTTAGTTAATCATACTTCACATATCATAATTAGTTAATCATACTTCACAGATCGGTTACCAATGCCCCAGTTAATCATACTTTAACACAATTAACAAGAAAACATATGAAATACTTACTATTTTATCATACTTTAACACAATTACAGTTATCAAATAAATGATTAAGCAATTTGATAGTTAATCATAATGTAGTACTTCAAGTTTTCAACACAATTAGCAACACAACACATACATGGTTTCAATGGAAGTCATGACAGTCACAAAATTACAATTTTATTCAATAGAATGACACAAAAGTTTTAGTTAAGAGGCTAAGAAAAAACAATTTTATTCAATGGAATGACAAAAAAAAATGTTTTTTATATGTAAAATAGCCCAAAAATGGAATTTATTCAAATAGCGGTTATAACGCCGCTCTAGCGGTGACCATAATCGCGGTAAATTGCGGCACTAATAGAGTCACCGCTATTTCGAAATAGCGTTTCCTTAGTGTAATCACTTTATTATACTTGTATCAATTTAGACGTCTTTAGAGCATCCAAAATATAAAGAGCTTATTTGTGATGATTACATTAGTGTAATCACTTTATTATACTTGTATCAATTTAGACGTCTTTAGAGCATCCAAAATATGAGTTTTTTACCCCAAAAACTCATGAAAATTCAAAAAGCCATCGGATGAGTTTTTTTCAAACTTAAGTTTTTTCAAGGAGACTCTTAATTAACAAACTCTTTTCATAAGTTTTTTCAATTATTTGGTGGATCTCAAATGTTTTCAACTAGCTGTAATCATATGTTTGTAGCTAGCTGTAATAGGCAACTTAGGCTAAGCGGAGTGGAGGTTGCCACCGGCCTCGCTACGCTCGCTAGCCAACTTGAAACACCTCCCCCTAGCACTCGCTTGTGGGGTCGCTACCGGGCACTCGGCGAAGTTTTGGCGAGAAGATAGAGAAACAGCAACGCATTGTGATTGGTTGGAAGAAGACGAAGCGGAAATCAAGTTTGGTGTTATTTTGCTTTTAATCTGGGTTTGCACTTGATGTTCTCCAAAACAAACAAAATCGTAGAGGCATGCCGGTTGATTGGTTCATTCTTCATCGATGATCCTACTCCAAAATAAATAAATAAATAAACCCTCCATTGATGCTCCCGCTCCAAAACTCACTCGACATACAAGATGGTAATCGTCCATAATACAAGGTGATTGGAGAAATTGGCATCTACGGATGTCAATTCTGAACCAACGACTCAAGAATGTGTCAATTGAGAATGTCTCAATGTCGAGTATGAATTTGTCGACTGAGAATTGAGGTACACATGACTCATTGCACGTACTCTTTATTTTTGTATGAACACCAAGTGTTCGATAAAATTCATCAATGAAAAACTTCCTTCCAGTTTTTGGGCTCCTCTTCTTGTTTACACTTCTAAATCAAATGTATACCTGGTTTTTATTGAATTTGTAAAGGAATATTATTTATGTGATTGTTAACACTTTGAAGTCAATCTTTTCGTGATTTGCAATGAATGAACATACATTTTTATTTTTCTTTGCTTTGTACATGACAAATCCAATAAGGTAAGAGCAATGCTAAATGCAATTAGCACCTAAAATTCTTCATGGCATACTTTTTGTTTTCTTGAAATAGGTATGAAAAATAAAAGATGTAATTTACTGAATTTTAGTCTCTGATTGGAACTTTTGACAAGTTAGTAGTTATAACCTTATATTAATCATTAACTGTAACATTATTAAACGTATCTAAAAATAGGCTTTTTTTTCTTTGAACTAGAACCACCATAATTCAAGAAGCTCTTTTCCTTTGTAGCTATAGCTATGAAGGTTGTCATGAAAAAATGAAAATTCGTTGCTATAAAACTGAAAGTGCCTTGCTATAAAATAAAGTAAATGAAAAAAAAAAATGGAGTGCTAAGAGTGTTAGCACTCCCTACCAAATGCTAAGATTATATGTTAAATGGTCAAAAATGAGATGGCACTCAAAAAACTGATGTGGCAATGTGTTAGAAGTGTTACCACTCCCTTTAGCCTTATTGACGATTTCACAAACACACATGTTTGAAAGTGTTAACATTTTGCATCCATTATTACATCAGAAAATGTTGACGATTTCACGTACATGTTTGTAGCTAGTTGTAATAGGCAAACTATTTGGAGATAATGAGTAACATTTTGCATCCATTATTACCTCAGAAACTAACTACTATTGTTCCCTAACACACATGTTTATAATTTTCAGCGTGTGTTTGAAAGTGTTGAGATGATATCACATAATTAGAGTTAAATAAATAGGATGCAGAAGATAATGTTTGGCTATGTTGGATGTTCTTTTGTTGTTCGAAGTTGTAATACTCATGAAATCAATTGTGCTCAGGTGTTTGACCATTTGATGGATTATGATTATTTAGGGATTTCATACTTCATAGACAAAGGGATATTCTTATGTAATGTTCAATTTTTAAAAACAACACCCTCGTTGATATTAGTAGATACCTTGCAAGATGGTGGTTGTGAGGGTTGTGACAGCATCAGTGGGGTGTTAGTGGTGGCAGCAGTGGTGACAGCAACAACCGATGATACATCTTATGTAGTTTGGTTTTGTCAATTTTGTAACGAGTACAAAAGTTCTACTATTACAATAACAGTGTTTTTTTAATAAAAAAATTTAGAAGTTTGTATACATTCAATTTTATAACAACATTATAACAGAACAATCTCATCTTTGCCAAACACGCAACTTATTCAGACCTGAAAACATCATACTCTAAGGTTTACAACATCAGCCACTATAGACTAGAAGATCATCATCATCATCATCATCATCATCATCATCATCATTATGTCATAACACCTTTATTCTTCATAATTTTTTTAACATAAGTAAACTTACTAAGCAGCAGCAATTGAGTTATAGAAGAAGAAGAACTACTGATTCCCAACATCAGGGCTATCACGACCTTTCTTGAAATCATCCCATCCTCTCACCCATGGCTGCCCAGGTGTAGCCCTTGTCTGTTTAGATGCATAGCTGTCCAGGTTGTTCATTACCTTGCTACGCACCTCATTGAATACCTATTATTTATTACCAAAAACAACTTTCCCAAATCAGTCCCACTCTAAACAATACATACATAAGAAACAAACTAGTACATGAATTCATGTTTTTCAGTAAAGTTTAACTCACAGGATTCGTCTCGATTGCTTCAGGAGGTTGCTCCTGTCCAGTGAGCCATTTCCACAAATCTGGATTTTCCTGCAATTCAAAAGTAAGTAAGACGGATGTTAACCCTAGGCGTAATCTGTTACTGGTAATTATTAGCAATAATATTTGTGGAATTTACCAGGTCGAGGACAGTAATAAGCGATTTGATCCCCTTTTCATCTAAAGATCCAATGTGATTCTCCACCCAACTTCCTAGAACTAAGTCCAGCTCCAGAAAACCCCTTTGTTTGCTTCTATACAACAATCTACTCCAATTTACAACAAAAATCAGAAATCGTCATCATCATCAATCACGCTTCTGGAATTCAAATAGGGATATGAAAAACAAACCTGTTAGTTAATATTCGCTTGCTTTCTTCGTTGGACAAATCGAAATCTAGGGATTCGACACCGCCATTAGAAGAATAGAAACGAGAGAATGAATTAACATAAGGCCTGAAACTTACAGAAAACCATCAATAGAGGAACAAAATTAGGCAACACACACACACACACACAAACACAAGACTGTGAACCTGTAGAGAGTTTGATACGGAATGGTGGCGTTTGACGATGCGCCGCCGAGTACTCGAGCCGGGGCGGCTGTTGAATTAAGGAAGCGTGATATGCCAAACAGCACACTTCTTCTGATATTCCCCATGATTTGCTCTGATTGTCGCTGTAAATTAGGGATTCGCGTTATTTTATGTGTTTGATTTCAGGGATACGCGAACGCGAGGTGACGTGGCGGAGGAGGGGAAGGCGGTTCTTTGTGAACAACCGTAAAGCACCGTGGCAATTTTGGAGCCACTTGGAACCACAGCAACGTACAAGTGATCACTGCATTGGAAAGTCAAGGATCGAATGTTTAATTTGCAAAGCACGTCCATATATTCAACAAAAAATCGTAGAAGGAGGTGATTTTAAAAACCTAATCGCCCTTTTTTTTCTTCTAATAAATCGATTCCTTTTAAAAACCTAATCGCCCTTTTTTTCTTCCAATAAATCGATTCCTTTTAAAAGTTAAATTCGTACTCATTAAACATTTTTGAAAAATAGCTTCTTACGCATTAGGTTAAAAGGTATAGTTTTGTGATTCTTACGAGTTTAGGGCTGTAACATCACATAAAATCTTTCCACCTCCACAAAATATATCAATGGGAAATGGTGTTTAGCATGGAAAGAGAGAGATAGAGAGAAAGAGAGAAGGGCAGAGATTATAGACTCACAAAGCCTCACACTCACGACATGAGGGCGATGTAGCTGTTTCACTCACGCGTAGGTGGCCTTGCCACATCAAGTTAAGGAGATCATTACGGATACACTCCGTTTAGCCTTACAACAGTTCAGTTATACTTTTAATTCTAGGGTTTTATTCATGAACAACTAAAAACTCGATTTTTCCAGTTTCTAGTTGGACATTTGTCTATGTTTGAAGTTTGGATTTGTTTTTTAATCTAATGATTCATGTTTTATTTGATTTAAAGTACTTGAATTTACAATTGAGCGAGAACATGATGACAATAAGCAATAGGGCTCTCGGTTTGCAGTGTTAGAAACTGAAGAACCCGAAGGGATGGCCGATGAGCACAGGCTCGACGGAGTGATAAGGGGAACAATGAGATAGAGCAACGGGAAGAAGGTCATCGTCTCTTTGGGAAGAGTCCAGCTCCAAAGGAGATCTTGTCAAGCCCACTCGCTCTATTATGGATGTCCCTGCGGGAAAGGCTATGCTAGGGCATGTGGTCGATGCCATGGGAGTACCTATTGATGGAAGAGGGGGTCTAAGCGATCACGAGCGAAGACGTGTCGAAGTCAAAAGCCTCCGGGATTATCTAGTAAAATTATTTAATTTATAGAAACCAAAATTGTTCTATTAGTCAAAACTAATAACAAACAATAATTTGGTTCTTCATTTGGATTTAAGGGATGTTTGGGATTCCTTATTTAAAACAACTTATGTTATATTTAGTGTTTGACAATAAGTAATAATAAAACAACTTATTAAAATTTTTTAAATAAGTCAATAAGTAAGAAATGACTTATCAAAAACTTCGTATTTAAGTAAATAAGTGTTAATAAAAATATTTTTATCCAAACACTAAAAACTCCTTATTACCGGTATCAAACAAAAAATAAGTCAATAAACACTTCAAATATACAAATCCCAAACACCCCTTAATTTCATTGTCACATAACACCCCCTTAATTTCATTGTCACATTATAACTGACATTAGGGTGCTGCTTTTATAAGTCAATTGCTATATCAAATCACAAATGGTTCTAGTGTTACTCCTTTTTGTCTTTTTTTTTCCTATCTTGAATTCAATCAAGTTATTCCTGTGCATTAAGCTAAACATAAGGCTTTGGGGAGTGGTCACACCTACCCCACTGAAAAAGTGTTGCCACATGTGCGTCACGTCAGCTTCACACTCAACCCACCACCAACCCACTAAACATTGGAAATGGTTACCACTCCACATTATTTATATTTTTATTTTTTAAATTTTAAAACATTAGATTAAGTAAAAAAATATTATTATAAACTTAAGTAATCATTTTACTAATTAAAAAATCAAATAAACATATTATTAATTTTTAAAATTAAATAAACATAACTATATGTAGTTAAGGGTTTAACTTAATTCAAATAAAAGTGAAAGGGTATAATAGGATTAAATGACAGAATCTCAGGGACTAAATTTGTAACTTCCATTAAAACATATCTAATGTACACCCGTTTACAGTTTGGTTGTCTTCTTCACCCGATTTCTGGAAAACGGGTATATCCTTTTTTTTTTTTCTTTTTCTACTTCGATGATTAAAAGAAAAACCAACAAAATTAAGGGGCAAACGGTCAAAAAAGAAGCAAGCCAAAATAGGAAGCTCCGTCTTCTCCCGTCTCCGGAGCCACGTCACGCGCACCCCACCGGACTTGGGGCGGTGTTCACGCGTGGGGAGGCGTGCCACCTCAGCCCAAGACGTCGTGAAAACGCTCCCATACCGGTTAGCCTAAACACACACACACACATATTAGGCTAAACGGAACAGCCTAAACACACACACACATACTAGGCTAAACGGAATGGTGAGTAAAACTCACACGTATGCTGACATGGAAGCCCAACTCACGAGTGACTTGGGTGGGGGGTGGGGACATCCCCTGCCTTGTGACCATCCATGAAGCCTGCTACATTCCTTCACAAAAATGAGAGAGAAAAAACCTTCTCTCTATCTTTCTATATCTCACTACTTCCTTACTCCCTAACACCATTTCCCAGTACTACTGACTTCAAGGTGGAATTATTTTGACACCTTCACGCATAAATGCATTGTGTATAACTTCGCAGATCAAATCATGTCTCCTTCAGTCCATTAAGTCAAAAAATACAGACAAACTCTAGCTTTTAGAAATTAATCTCACGTCTCTCTGCAAAGAATTTGCCATTAACAGACTGGTCCCTAATCAAAGCAAGCCATACAGCAGTATCAGCTCCTTCCTCAGGTGAAGTCTGACCTGCCCATCCAGTCATGGCAGTTTTCACCCACCCTGGGCAGCAGCAGCTGATATATATCTTCTCACCATCATCTCTTTCAGACAATATCCTACCCATAACCCTAGTGTAACCATTCACTGCAAGCTTCGACAATGAATAATCAGTATTGTTTTGAGGCCATCCTCCAGAGATCCAACTCCCATCTTTCACTTCTTCCAAGAACTTGTTCATAGTCTCATCAATCAGATCTTCTGATAACAACTCCACATCTTCTAATTTCTCTCTCAATCCAACATCCCCGATCCTCTGAAAACACAATTTTGAAAAAATTTCAGGTAATGTAGAACAGTAGAAGGTTGAATTTATAGATGAAAGAAGATCGTACATACATTTCTTCTGCCATTAAGTCTTCCCAATCGCGAGCTCACATTAACAATCCGAGCACCTTCAGCTGAAGGTTTCATCAATGGAAGCGAAGCTTTAATCATGTTTTTGGTTCCGACATAGTTTGTGTTGATTACCTTTTCAGCAAACTCAACGGAATTATCAGATCCGGTATTATGACTTACTCCTGCATTGTTTACCAGAATGTCTATACCACCATACTTTTCATTTACCCAAGCACAAAAGGAATCAATGGATTCATGGTTTAAAATATCGAGTTGATGGAAGACGACTTTCAATCCTTCTTCCTGTAGGGTTTTGGTTGCTTCTTCCCCAGTAGTAGTGTCTCTTGAAGTAAGAACGACTGTCAATCCATGGAATGCAAGCTGTCGTGCGATCTCAAATCCAATTCCTCGATTGGCTCCGGTCACCACCGCTATTGTGTCTGCAGACCACCACCTAAATTAATGATACTGTAATGATTAATTTTTTGTTCGAGAATTGAGAGCTCTTAAAGTTGAATTTCAGCCATGATGATGATTGTTTATCAACATTTCTATAACTTCAGTCCACGATTGGGGATTAGGGTTCGCTGTAGAACAAAAGTAAACAATTAAAAGCGGGTATTGGATATACCTGTCGTGGTCTGAATAAGGAACTGTACGGAGGCGAGAGATCTCTTGGTGACGTTTCTCTCTACGCTCCTTGGCTCTCTCCTTTTTATTCGTACGTTTCTCTGTAGCGTCCATTATTACATAATCGAATCGAATAAAGATACTATTTTGCCTGCAACTCGATTCGTTCGGACCACCGACCGGGGGAGGCAGGCTGAGAGAGTGAACGGCGGCGTTATTTTCCCAGTGAAGTCGAGGGTTTTTCTGTTGTCACTATGAACCTATGGGTCTTAGGAGGGTGTTTTGTATTGCTTTTTTTAGCTTTAATAAAGTCTTAGGGAGGGTTTCCTGCGACTCTCTCCTTTTTAGCTTTAAAAGTCGTTTCAAAAAAAAAATTTGATTTATAGTTTTTTTTTTTTTGAAAAGAGGTTTTAAAATATATTTGAATAACTTTTAAGGAAGTAAAAAAGTTGTGATTTATAGTTTTTTTTTTTTGAAAAGAGGTTTTAAAATGTATTTGGATTAATTTTTAAGGAAGTAAAGACCAAAAAACCAAAAATCACTAAAAGTGATAAATTTCTAACTTTTAAAACCATTTCTTTTTCTTCTTGCCAAAAAGTCATTTTAAAAAAACTTTTAGATTTGTCAAACACATTTTCAAACTTTTAGCTTTTTGAAAAAGCTAAAAGTCTAAAAAATTATTTTGAGAAGGAATCTCAAACACCCTCTATGACTGCATATGGACGCTTGGGCCATCTTTTCCTTACATCCCGTTCTCGAGTTGTAGCAAAGAAAAGATGATAAAAGAAAAGAAAGTAATGAGAGAAAAGACAAGAAAAAAAAAAGAAACAAAATTCGTCTTTTGTGATTTTGAGTTTGAGAGAAGTGGAAGGAAAATTAAAGATATTGTTTTTTCTCTCCAAATCCTTCCAAATCGAAAGGAAAGTTAGGAGGGAAAGTGATCCTTCCATTTCCTTTCACTTCTTTCCTTTAATGAAACTCGGGAACACCAATTTCTTTTACTTTCCTCTCACTTCCACCCATTTCTTTTCTTTTTTCTCCTTAAAATGAACTCAGGTACGGGGTGTTAATATTTGGGAGTGGCAACACTTTTTTTTCTATCAAAATTAAATAAATTATATTTTTTTAATACATAAACATTTAATATTAAATAAACTATATTTTATAAAACACAAAAATTTAATATTAAATGAAAATGTTTTTATTTTTGGGACAAAAAATACTAGGTTGCTGAAACTTTAGGGACCAAATGTATAACTTCTTCATCTTCTTCCTTACTTCTCTATTAAAAGAACACAGTAACAAATTAGCAACAAAAATGGAAGCTTCGACAACGGTCCATTGAGGGCTCAAAATCACCCACAGGCTCATCATCTTTCTTATTATTTTGATATAGGATTCTTCGATTTTTGTACAAAAGCTCAACCACCAATCACAACCTTCTTTTGCTTTCTGTGACATCCCCAAAATCAAGGCCAGAAAATGCCGGTTTTAATTTATGCTTTTAAAATAATTTCAGAGTAATTCTTTGATTAAAAGAGTTGCGGAATTTGTTCCCAAAACGAAATATGATAAAATAAGATTTACCAAAACATTTCTTAAAGAAATGTATTTTCATTATATAACAAAATTCGGGATGTCATGTTCCGATACAGACCAAAAGCATAAACGGCACATTTATAAGCCTTACAACAGTTATATACACTACAGGCCTATAATCAAAATATCTTAATAAGTCGTTCAACTTATGCTCTCGCGCCACTACCTGTAATACAAAGAAAACTGAGTGGGTCAGGCTTGGGAGTCTGGTGAGCATATAGGGTTTTCAACCCACAATAAATAAATTTATTAATTTCATCGAACAACAATAACCTGATTATCCATTCCCGTTATCCTCACTTTACGTCCCTAAAACAACTATCACAAGGGACTTAGTCTAAGGGATTTCTTCGGGGCAACAATACTGCTTTGGGGGTTTCCCAGCAATTTATGTCAAATAAGGCAACCATGTGGGGATGGAGTACAGCAAATGAACACCCAAGCTCATTAAAACCTACAGGTTGCGAGCCTGCCAGCGTTCCACAGGACTATCTAGAAAAGTTTATGGTCGTCATCAATACTCCGCTAGATGACTGGATCACAATAACATCGAGGCCTCTCATCGTTTTATTTCATCACACATCAATTATCTACCCATGTTATACCCAACATATTTGTAGATAAAAATACATATACAGTTTAATTTATTTAAAAACCTGTATAAATCATCCATTCATCATCCATCTCAAATAACTAAACAATATATATTCACATAGCACGTATTTTATATAAAATACTTCATATCTATGTGTAAGATGAAAGTGACTATACACTCACTTGATAAGACGATAATCGGGCAGCACTTCGTTTCTTAAAACGATCGTTTCTGATAAAACCGGGAGCTTTTTAATGAAAAATCGGGCTCTGCGAGGGTAGAGCTTCAAAACCGAAAAGATAAATTTCTCGGGCTCTTCGGGTACTCCGTAACGTGTTTTGGGTGTTGGAAATGATAACGAGGCTTCGGGGGGAAGTCGAGATAGTAAAAATATTGAATTTAGGGTGAAAAGTGGCAATTTTCCAAAATTACCCGGGAGGATTCGCAGCCCTTCTATTTATAGAGGAGAGCCTCAGATCCGAAGCAAGGGGGAAGAAGCACGTGGCAGCTGCTGCGAGGCTCGGACGCAAGGTGGCTCGGATGCGAAGCGAACAGGTGGCTGGTGCGAGGGTAAGACACGGATGCGAGGAGTGGGAGGCGCGTCGGAAGCTCGTAGGCGAGGCGTGGCTCGCTTCGGACACGCCACATATGCGACACGCGTCTGATTTCTATCGGACCACGCTTCGAACACGTCATCGGATCGTACACGGGGCAGCAGCGAAGCGAGGGTGACGTGGCCGAACACCAGCCATGTGAAATTCCTCGGTTTTAGCATTTTTCTCGATTTTTGTGTCCCAAACTTCTAAAATCCATAACATTCGTATACGGGCTCCGTTTTTTACGTTCTTTAAATGCACGCGTAGGTAAAAATTATGCTCTACAACTTTCGTTTAGATTCCGTTGGCTAATTTTGACTTTATTTTTAATATTATTATTTTTAACAGACCGGGACAGGAAAATCCGTTAAAAATTCATAACTTCTTCATCCGACGTCCGTTTTTATCTGTCTTTTTACCGTTGTACTACTATTGAAGAGACCTTCGATTCTCGTTTAGGTTGTGTCGGCTAAAAATCACTCGATCTTTATTTCGAGTTTTTAGCTGTCTACTGCTATACCGAAACTTAGAAAAATCATAAATTCCTCATACGAAGTCAGATTTTAACGTTCTTTTTATCAAAATTCTCGGTTTAACGAATACTACGACTTTCGTTTAGATCACTAAGACTAAAAAAGTAGTTTATCAAAAGCGTCAACTAAAAAGTTGGTGAGTTCATAAGTAGTTTTGTGTATAAAATCGTTTACACTTGTTTAGAATCGTTCGTATTGTACTTTCAGAAAATCCGATATTTTCTATGAAATCGTTTGAAGTCTTGCCTTGAAAATCATGGATATATGTGTGCATGTCATTACTTTTATTCATCCTTATAAGGAGTGATTTGAAAAGTAGTGTGATTTGTAAAAGCGAGGTGTGTCCGAGAATAGTTCGTTTGAATAGTAACAATCAACCGTTTCAAGAAAAATCCCTTATTTTCAAAAAGGAAATATGGTTGAAAATCTTGTTCCTCTTATCGAGTAAAATTGAGTGTGTGCGTTCTAGTTTGTCGTTATCGAAATCGTAGAAAAATCGTTTTCCCCAGAAAATCCTATATTTTCTGCTATAAAATAATTGTAAGTTCTAGTTTCCAACTATGTATATGTGTGGGTTAGTTTATCGTTATCAAAATCGTTTACAAACGTTTTCCATAGTCCTACGCTTTTTAATTTGTAAAAATAGCAGTATTACGACTCGATACTTGTAGGAGAAAGAATCAACATGGCTATTGTGGACATTCTACGCGATGAAGAAGGACAGTCGACACAACAAATGCGGACCATCACCTATCACGTGTAGGACAGTCAACATAACGTGCCAAAGTTTATTTATGAGGTTTTCCTTACATAAATTTCTAGTTAATATAACATATTCTAGTGAGTCGTTATAACCATACTAATCTGACGAAGTGCCTGTTTTGGCGTTTCTCAGGCGCCCTCGGTTTGGATAAGACATTTGTCACCCTAGACTGGCCTGTCTAGCTGTAGCGAACAGCGAAGGTGCGGGGTGTCAACCCCGTATAAATCTATACACAAATTCTCGCTCTCCCTCCAGAAGACTCTGGCTATAACTCCTTACAGGACTTAGACGTACACTAATATTTTTATATTTAGGTACTTTTGAGATTTGTCTGACTAGAATATTAACAACCTTTTGAGCAATCGTTAGAGATCCATTATTTGTTAGATAAATAATGAAATTCGTACTCATTGAATAGAAGTATCATCCTCGTTCCATATCGTTGATTGGGCTCGTTAACTAGGTGCTCGTGTTCGTTCTTTTCGTTTATTGAAAAATAAGTCATTTTAGTCAAGAGAGAAAAAGTGTCAAGTTATAATTTGTATAAATTTATAACTGCCGGTTATGACACGCATTTTCTGTTTTATGACATATAGAACATTACTTATGTTCTTGGAGGTTTTACGACAACAGTTTATGACATGCAAATATTTCTGTCATAAAGGCTCTACTTGTGTATTTTTCTTTGACGCAAACTTTTATATTGAATATTTACAAAATACTCCCTAACAGTTTGCAATATATGATGGGTTTTAAGCATAAGAACAATCTATGTGCTCATACAAACCCTAATGCTTGGATCTAGGTTTCTCTATTGTACATGCAATGAATCCAAGACTTACAAACCCTAGATCTATCAAATAAGAACTGAAATAAGGGTTTAGTAATTACCTTTGATTGTTATATAGCAATAACAATCAATCCTTGCTTTGATTGGCTTCAGAAAGCTTAATGCCTCAAATGTTGCACCTCTAATGGAGTCACAAACACCACTAAGCAACTTGGATGAAGAGGGAGGAGAGAGGAGGCACCAAAAACCAGTTGGAAACCCTAGAGGAACACTTGTCCACGTTTTTGGGGCTTAAGGGTCCTTTATATACATGTAGGCTATTAGGGTTTACAACTAGGAAACCCTAATCTGACTGCTTAAGCCCTAAGCAGTCCAATGGACCATTCTAGAAGGCC